AACGCACCGGTGGCTTCTATGATCGAAAACTCTCTCTCATCTTCGTCACTATAGGATTCCGTCCTTACACCGGATATTATGGATATAGAAGTTGAGTCGTGTGAGCTTCTCCGTCTCGTGCCCTTACGACAAAGTTCCAATCACCGGCATATACACGACAATATATGTTGACAAAAGTTAAATCTAAATGGGTCGGACAACCTGAGTTTTGGTATTTATGAATTTTTGTGTACTCTTTAAAATTTGAAATCATATCCCCAAATCCTACTCTTCAACTTTTAACAAAAATGTCTATAATTAGTTAACTCAAAGGATATAAGTGTATATTTACTTTTTTTTTATAAAACATGAAATCTATTTTGGTTATTTTTATTTTCAAAAACTATATTGGTGACAAAAACTTGTTTAGATCTATCCTCTGGAATTTCTCCTTTTAATCAGTTAAAATCGGTTTAAATTAGTCTAGAATTACACAATAATGCTAATTCAAATCCACAAATTTGTCTAATTTCTTTTGTTTTGTATATGTATTTTTGATAAGGTTTTTAGTTATAAAATCTCTTATGAATCTTAAAAAAAACTTTCAACTAAATCTTATACAATAAAGTTGACTATTCTCACTTCTTAGGGTGTCCACCTCAGCTTTTAGGAGGGGGGCAAAAAATGACATGTCAGCAATCAATTTTTTAAATTGAACCCACATAATTTTCAATCCCGTGTTGGTCTGAATTGGTTTTGCTGTCTTGGTTTGATGTTTGGTGATGGACTTGGTTTAGGGTGGCCTATAAACTACTATTTTTTTTCCTACAATACGCGTTTACAAGACTACGGAACGAGGTTGAAACTCTAAAACCCTACAATATTAACCACCAATTTCACCATTTAAAAATATTTTAACAAACAAAAAAAAAACCAACTAAACAATAATTGAACAAACAAATCTACAAGACTATAAACATTTACGGTCAATCATTCAGAAACATATGTAACTAAAAAGTTACGAACATTGTCATACACAAAATAAAAGGAAAAAAGAATAACCAAACAAAACAATAAAATTTAAAATTAAAACCAATAAAAATACTACGTCGATGAAACTGAGAGAAAATACTACAAGACTATAAACATTTACGGTCAATCATTCAGAAACATATGTAACTAAAAAATTACGAACATTGTCATACACAAAATAAAAGGAAAAAAGAATAACCAAACAAAACAATAAATTTAAAATTAAAACCAATAAAAATACTACGTCGCTGAAACTGAGAGAAATTCGCAGAAGTAGGCTTCCGTCAATACGATTACATCGAATACATTACAAACAACAGTTGCATAATACGAGAACATTACAAAATGAGATTTTTAATAGTTTTAGAAAACATCCAAACTAAAAACATTATATTGACCCCACACCCATTCAAACGTTTGGAGAAAAAAAATTAACTTTAAGAAATCCGTAATAATAGAAGAGATAAAATTTAAACACAAACAGCGTAATTTCAACTAAAAAACAGCAACAGATATGAGGATGCATTAAAAACGATAATGTTGACGCTCTTTAAAACAAATCTTCCTCAAAACAGAAACACAGGAATTTAATGGCATGAAATACACAGGTTTAAATTACTAATCAAAGTAAATTATAAATATTAAAGACTAGCAAAATCATAAGGAACATAAATAATAAATAGTAACAAAAGACCACCCAGTATACGTGTAACGGTACAGCAGAAATAATAACAATAAAAACACATACAAATTCAAAGCAAATGTTGAATTTAAACTTAAAGTCCAAATGTTAAACATCTAACCATGATGCTATCACTTTGATATCATAATCCACCATTCTCATAGACAAAACACATTCAGAAATATAACATTACCCACCAACAAATAAATTTTAAATTTTAGTTAATAAAAATATCCAACAATCCGCGCGCAGCGCGGACGGATCACTAGTATTTAATAAAATAAACCTTTCTGTTAACTTGTGTTATCCTCCGTACGGTATTTCAGATGGAGGGGGACATTCGTTAAAAAACTAAAATTGAGAGTTTTTTCGTTAAGTTTTTAAGTTGAGGTATTTTTTACAATACATCTTTAGTTGAGGAATTTTATTACTAATTCGATTAAATGTTTTAAAATCTTTATTATCATATATGCATTATTTAACGAAATTAAAATTGAGGATTTATCTCATTAAATCTTTAGTTGAAACTTTTTTACAATACATCTTTAATTGAGAGATTTTATTACTAAAATCCCTTTTTGATATTCCATTACAATAATTTTATAATTAAATCCAAAAATTAAAATATCTTATATAAATATAAATATATATATATATATATATATATATATATATATATATATATATATATATATATATATATATATATATATATATAATCAATAATTCGTTAATGCATGCTTCTAATAATCCGCCTAGTTGCTACTTCTATATAAAACGTCTAGGTAACCCACCTAATGATTTCTTGAACATTGGTTTGATAGCTTCTTCTTTTCCATTTCTTAGGGAACAAATCTTGTTGAAGGAATGTCTCTGAACCTTTCTGAAATTTCTGAGGTATTTGCTAGTGATCGAGCTTTCGAGGGCTTGTCTAATCTCAAGCTTCTCAACTTCTATGATCTTTCATATGATGGAGACACTAGAGTGCATCTACCTAATGGCCTCACTTATCTACCACGCAAGCTTCGTTATCTACGCTGGGATGGATACCCTTTAAACTCTATGCCTTCAAGGTTTCATCCAGAGTTTCTTGTTGAACTTTGTATGAGCAATAGCCATCTCCAATATCTTTGGAAGGGTATCCAGGTAAAAAAGATCCTCCACAGAAACTACAGATCATTTCTTTTTGCTATTGGACTAATAAAACCATATGATGTAATTTTTTCTTCAGCCTCTTAGGAAACTGAAGAAGATGGATCTTTCTCATTGTAAATACCTAATCAAAATTCCAGATCTCTCAACAGCCACAAACCTTGAGGAGCTAAACCTTTCCTATTGCCAAAGCTTAACTGAGGTTACTCCATCTATCAAACATCTTGAGAAACTTGATTGTTTGTACTTGACTGATTGCATCAAACTCAAGAAGATACCAAGTGGAATCGCTTTGCAGTCGCTTGAAACAGTTGGAATGAACGGATGCTCAAGCCTAATGCATTTTCCAGAGCTTTCTTGGAGTACCAGAAGACTCTATCTGAGCAGTACAAAGATAGAGGAAGTGCCATCATCGATGATCAGCCGTCTCTCTTGTCTGGTTGAATTGGATATGTCAGATTGCCAGAGTATCAGGACTCTTCCAAGTTCTGTAAAGCACTTGGTGTCACTCAAATCCATGAGTTTGGACGGTTGTAAAAATCTTGAGAACCTCCCAGAGTCATTACAGAACCTCACATCTCTTAAACATCTTCAAGTCTCTGGTTGCCTTAAGATCAACGAGTTCCCTCTTGTTACCAAGAGTATACAAGTTCTGCGTATATCTGAGACATCAATTCAAGAAGTTCCTGCAAGAATCTGTGATCTCTATCAGCTTAGGTCCTTGGATATGTCAGGCAATAAAAGACTTAAATCACTTCCGGTAAGCATTTCTAAGTTAAGGTCACTTGAAAAGCTCAAGGTTTCTGGCTGTTCTGTACTTGAGAGCCTACCGCCAGAGATTTGCCAGAGTATGAGCTGCTTGAGGTGGCTTGATTTAGAAAGGACCAGAATCAAAGAACTGCCTGAAAACATTGGTAGTTTGATAGCTCTCGAGGTGCTTCAAGCTAGAAGAACAGGGATAAGACGAGCACCATGGTCAATTGCAAGACTTAAACGTCTTCAAGTTTTAGCAATTGGGAATAGCATCTACACTTCAGAAGGTTTGCATTCTCTATGCCCTAACTTATCAAGGTTTGATGACTTGAGAGCTCTCTGCCTAAGCAACATGAACATGACAGAGATCCCTAACAGTATCGGTAACTTATGGAGTCTATCAGAGCTAGACTTGAGTGGTAACAGCTTTGAACACATCCCTGCGAGCATCAAACGACTCACCAGGTTGAACAGGTTGAATTTAAACAACTGCCAGAGACTTCAAGCATTGCCTGATGAGCTTCCACGGGGTCTCTTGTACATCTACGCACATGGCTGCACATCACTAGAGAGTGTCTCAGGCTGCTTCAAGCATCGTTGTCTGCGCAAGCTTGTAGCGAGCAACTGTTACAAACTGGATCAAGAGTCACAGGTTCTCATCCACCGTTACATGCAGTTAGATGCAGCAAAACCAGAACACTCTTATTTCCCTGGAAGAGATGTGCCATCTTGCTTCAATCACCAAGCCATGGGATCTTCTTTGAGGATACACTTGCCTCAGAGTCAATCAACATCTGATATTCTAGGTTTTGCCGCCTGCATCATGATTGGAGTTGATGGAGAGTACTCAATGAACGATCTCAAGATACGTTGCTCTTGTATTTTAAAAAGAGTTGATGCTCAAGAGATGGTTGTTATGGATGAGCTATGGTATCCTGATCCAAAGGCTTTCGCAGACATGAGTTTTGGATCAGATCATCTTCTCTTGTTCAGCAGAAGTTGTAACATGTCAATGGGAGCTTACAACGAAGTCTTCTTTGAGTTTTTAATCGAAAACACAAAAGGAGATTCTTCTAACCCGTTGGTAGAGGTTAGAAAATGTGCAGTGCACCTCATAACGTTTGAAGACATGTTACAAGAGCATGACAATGAGAACATTCATGATCCTGATCCTGATTTGGAGGTTTCAGAAGCATTAGTTGAAGCAGAGGTTCCTAATAGAAGACTATATGAAACTGATCTCTTGCATAAGGAGCAACCTAATCTCAAGAGGATCAAGCTTGTTCCTGTTCCTTCAGCGCAAAAGCGACATTCCAAATTACAGTAACTGAACCAGGTTTGACCTGTTCGAGAAGCATATTATGATTCAAATAATTATCCCGTTTAGTTTCCTTTCTGGTTTTAGAAACATTAGTTTGTGAAACATTATATTCATGAGTTATATATATGTTTTGATCTTTGAACATGCAAGTTCAACAAATCTCAGCTCAAGAATGTAAGTGACAAGATTAACTTGATAGAAAGTGGAAATAACAAACCAGGGAGATAAAATACAATCTGAAACCTCCCAGAATAAAAAAAACTTGCCACTACCTTGACTCTACACGTTGCTAACATCTAATCTTTTGCTACCTACATGTGCTGTGTACAAACAAATACTTTATCTTTCAGGATTGTACTTGAGATGTTGCTCGTAGAACTCAATCAGCTGGCGTCAAAAGAAAAAAAAACACAGAACATGAAAGCTTTTAGAACTCTTCCATATAAATTAAGTGCAGAAGAAAAGCTCTAAAGATAAACCTTACCAGAAGAGGATTGTGAGCTTTGAGAAATCTGTTGTCAACTGTTACTTCCTTCCCATCAGACCTATGAGTAGCACCCAAATAAGTACAAACACTAATGTGAGAAACTAACCAAAGTGCAAAGAGACAGACAAACCTCAACACAGAAAACGTCACCAACGCGTCTTGTACACTATCTGTTATAGATGAAGAGAATCTCACTGGCTTGATGATCCTCACAATATCCAGTTCCTCCACTTTGCTTTTCTGAGAGAGATTGTTATTTTCCAACACACCAGGTTGATACTCATTCCCTATCCTTGACTCTGGTGTCAGATTATGATCTGTACTAGCTGTTGTGTGGTTGTTGTTATTACTTGTGGTGGTTTCTTCTTGTTTGAACCTTTTCACAGAACCAGACTTCCTCCGTTTAGCACCTATGAAACCAAACTCCTTGGGATAAACTTTGAGAAACCCATTTGCTCTTACATTATCACCTTCTTCACCTCCTACTTGTGAACACCCTGCACCGTTACTATCAATGACTGGTCCCATTAACTCATTAAGTGTCGGATCATATTCTTTCTCCACTTCAACCAAACTAACTTGTCGGACCATACCAACACTCCCACCTTGGTTGGCTACATAACCAGTGAGGTCGAGTGGACCGCGAGTACCAGGGAGGCTAGAGTTGTTAAGAGATGTAGAAGAGTCAGATCTCTCAGCAGCATCATACGTTAAACGTTGCTGCTTCTTATTCTTTAGCTGAGAGTTAGGACCTGAATATTTTCGCTTCTTCTTCCTACCAGGCTTCCCTGGCTTCAAACTATTGATACAAAAAAAAAAAAATATTCCATTACATATTTAATAAATGAAAAGTAACTCCTCACATTAAGATGCAACTCACTCACTCACCTTCCTTCAAATGAATCAATCACATCAGCAATAGACTGTAGATTCTCTAGAGGCTCCCATGTGTTAGCAGTTTCAGGCCATCCACGCCTTTCAAAACCAAAGTTTATTACAACTTATGTCAATAAAAAGCATATTATAAAAAATGAAACTTGAGTATGATATTAAAGAACTCACCATTTAATTAGATACTGCACCTTCCCCTATGATCAATCCAAAAACACCATCCGGTTTATATGTAAATAAAAAGATATCAAACATTAAAGCCAGTAAAACCACCACTAAATCAAACTCAAACCACATTTGTAACCAGTGTTTTTTTTGTAACACATTTCTAACCAGTGTATTAAGAGCATCTCCAACCCCACTCCAAAACTCACTCCATACTCCATTTTGCAGTAAAATCTTCTCCAACCCTACTCCAAAACTCACTCCAAAATGGAGTAACAAACATGATTACTCCAAATATGGAGTAAACCAACTCATTACTCCAAAATGGAGTTGAACTTTTTTATTTATCAAATAGTCCTCCACATTTATATATGTTTCATTTTTAATAAAATATTATTATAAATAAGTACTAT